TGTCCCAATAAAGGAGATTCTCAAGCTCCTCCATCAAAACGTTTCCCAGTGCCAGATCTCATGCACACTAGCAGGTCCATGGACCAGCGTACTTAGTCCACCTCGCAGAAACTGTGGACTTTCCTGACTAGCTTTTTCCACTCTGGTTTTTAATTTGGTGCTATACAACCCAGCCAAGCCTGGTCTACACCTTGACACAGCTCACACATGGCTCAGTAGGGGCAGAGACCTAGCCCAGCCCGTGTTATACCTACCCTGGTTCTCACAAGCAGTAGTGGGTGCTGGAGACTATCCCAGTGTGGCACACCCCAGACCCAGTCCACACTTGTGCCGAAGGACACTGCAGCCTTGTCCAGACTAGACAGCAGCCTCCACTCTAGCCTTCGCACTCACCGGTGGGAACCACAACCCAGTCAGGGTGTCTCCTTTGCTCCCCAACCAGGTCTGTTCTCAGTCATAGTTGTTGCTCATGCCAGTGATGGCTCTCACCCAGGTTGGCATAGCCCCTCCTCTGTCTTGGCCTTTGCCTTTGAATGCTGTAGCCTGGTCTGACCCGACCAGCCCCCAGTTCCCAATTCTCACTGGTGGGTGCTGGAACCTGGCCCTGCTCAGTCTGCTCCCATCCCTGGCTCATGAAAACTGGTAGATGTGACAACCTATCCCAGCATGACCTGCACTCCAGCCTGGTTTCTGCACTTGAAGGTGAGCTAAAGTTTGCTTGGCCCTGCCTGGTCTGCCTCCTTCCAAAACCAACCTACACTTTAGCTAACAGTTGGAGCTACCTTGCCCAGCCTGCCTGACCTCCAGGCCTGGGCCACATGCTCACCAATCAGAGCTATGACCCCTAGGGGAGTTTCCCAAGTTCCTGCACTTGACCCACTCCCAGACTCAGATCTCATACATTCCAGTGAGTGCTAGGCCCTTGCCCGGCATAGTCTGCCCCTCCACATTGTCCTAGTATAAGCTGGTGAATGTTGTGATCCAACCCTCTCCACACCTTGTTTTAGGATACACATAAGGGTGCTGCAACCTGGACCTGCCCAGACTATTTTCGGTCTCTATACTTAGAGTGTTGGCAGTACCCATGGTCACTCCTAGCTCAGCCCATCACCACCACAACTCTTGAGCTAACTTGTGCGACTTTTATTTCCACAGGGTTTGGCCTGCTTATCCCCCATAGAATCTGCCCTGGTTCTCTTGTGTACTGGTTGTTGTCCTGACCTTGCCTGATAATGACCCATCCCCTGTTCCAACATTCTGTCAGGTACTTGGTTTTAGCCTTGCTAGAAAGGCCCCTAGTCCTAGCTTTCACATGGATTGGAGTGTGGCGGTCAGCAATGTTCCATACTAACAAACCCATCTCATGACTCCCGTGTGGACTGGTGATTTGGTTTGACCCATACAGATGTTATGGTCTCTCCCCTTCAAACCACCAGGTCTCAGTGTCCCCACATACCCGCAAGTGGCCCTGTCATTGGATGTCCCTTAGGATTCATTTCTCACCTTCAAATACAGTGGCCTTATGCATGGATGTCCCTAGGCAGTAATTCCAGACCCCAAGACCTCAGAGCTTGGCACCATTGGCACTCTGGCTGCCCACAACTCAGGATTTGCCCCCACATGCCAGTGGTGGATGGGAAACTAGGATCCCCTAGCCACAGCCACATGGGTGTGAGGTCCTGATACTTCACACCTCTGCTTGGCCTTACCTGAACACCATCCACCAACATGGTTGCGGTGGGCAGAGCCATGGTCCTGAGCATGCCCAGAGCTGTTCAAAGTCTGTTCACAGCATGATTGCTGTTGAAGCAAATTCTTGGACCTTGGGCTTGGGTAAGGTCAGGATTTGACCACCACATGTCAGTGGTGGGTGGGGAGCTAGGATCTCCAGCAGGAAGCCTGGACTGGTGCGTATTCTCCCAGTCACAGCCTGATGGTTGGGAGATCCAGATACTGGCGCCTCTGCCCAGCCTTCCTGGAGTCTGCCCACCAACATGGAGGCATTCTAGTTGATTTTCTTACGTTACCAAATAATATATCTAATATTACCAAATAAGATATTTTTGATTTTAAACTATAATCAACTCTCAACTGATTGTTTCCATCAGCTACAATTACAATGAATTTTGGCGCTACTGTTCTAAAACTGCTGAAACTTCCAATTTGTTTTCTGTGGACACTACTGAATGCTCACGTTTATTGAACATTTCTGTTACTTTGCAGGATATGTGTGTGTGTGTTTCCCCCTAAGGTCCCACATAGCTTCATGTATTTGGGCCTCAACGTTGAAAGCATTACACCTCCCATTGCAAATGGTTCCCTGGGAACACTCACATGAGACCCCTCTCTATAGCTGCACATTGGCAGTACTGTCATGTGCAATGAGTAAAAGGGGTTTCTGGAAGCTGACAGCCTTCAGTTCTGTGGAATCAAGAAGGCTTAAATACAGACTAATGTTATAAGTCTCAGTAACTACCAGAATAAACCTCAACTTGTGGTAGCTGGACAGTGTATATAGTGAAAATGTTCTGCCTCTTTCAAATCTAGTCCAGAAAAGCTTGAAAATACATGTGTACTGCATGCTTGTGTGTTCATGGGATGGTATTTCTAAACTTCTTTTAGCCCATAGAACTCAAGTCTAAGACCATGTGATGATTTCAACATTCAGCCCCTGAGCACATGCAGATACTTAAACCCTAGTTTCTCAATGTGTTGATGACTGGAAGAAGGTAGAAACTTAACCCAGTTCTGGTGTCTAGTGGATGTGTCTGGAAAGGGTCCTTCTCAGAGGAGGGTTATTAAATCATGAATTCCAACCTGTCTCTGCTTGCTTCTACTACCCACACTCCATGTGCCACTTTCATCAGAGGCCAAACCAGTAATTCACCTGATAGTGAATTTGAACCTTGACAACTATGAGCTAACTGAACATTTCCCCTTATAAAGTTTAGTATTTCACTATAGTGCCAAAGAGCTAATAAACACTTTATTTGGCTTTTAAGTGGTTTTAAGCAATATATGGGGATAGGAAGGCAAATTTGCAGAGAACCTCAGTGAAACCTGGTTTTCATAATACAGCATTAAAAAGGTTATAAATGGGCCTGGTGTGGTAGCCTAGTGGCTAAGTTCTTGCCTTTCAAAACCTGGTATTCCGTATGGGCACTGTTTGTGTCTTGGATGCTCCACTTCCCATCCAGTTCCCTGCTTGTGGCCTGGGAAAGCAGTGTAGGATGGCTCAAAGCCCTGCACTGGTGTGGGAGACCTGGAGGAAGCTCCTGGCTCCTGCCTTCAGATCAGCTCAGTTCCAACTGCTGTGACCATGTAAGGGGTGGGGGGTGAATATTCAGACATAAGATCTTTCTGTCTGCTTCTCCTTCTCTCTGTAAATCTGCCTTTCCAATAAAAATAAATACATTTTTAAAACAAGCTAGAAACATTGCACTGGAATGTGCATCATTTCTCATTTATATGAAGGAAACTGAAGATGGCAAGTCTCATTTAAGCAGCATTTTGAGGCTCTGGGTAGTACAGGCATTTAGAAAGTATGTTAGTTTGATTAGATGCAAAAAACTGGTTAACATTCCACAGTGTAACAGGCCCCTGAAAGCTGAGGTTATCTTTTCCTCTGGACAGAATGCGTGAAATGTACAAGAAGTTAACGTGTAACTTCACATGGATAAGATCTGATTCATGGTGTGTAACAAGTCAGGCACACGGAAATTCTCGATATTCTCCTAACCTCTCAGTCTCAGTGTGACACTGAAGTGTCATGCTTCTCCCTCATTGCTAAGTTTTGGGTAATAATTATGTGAAAATTTGAAAGTGCTTTAAATCAACTCATCAGCTTGTATGGTTTGGACTAAAAGCCACCATTCCTGCTGCCTCTCGAGTGGAGAGGTCAAAAAGGAAGTTGAGAGTCTGAGTTCAAAATTCAGTCAAGCATCTTTCACAGATGACTGTTCTTCCCTATCAAGGTCAACATGGCAAGAGATAATGAACCACAGAAAGAGGGCAGGACACGCCCCCCCCCCCAAGGGAATGAAGCCTGTAGGGGGCTGGCAGGGTTCCCTTGTCCGAAAAGGGTTGGCTGCCTTTTCCTTGGGGGGGGGGGGCAGTGTCTGTGGGTTCTCTCTCTCCATCCGTTGTGATGGTGCTAAGGAGTAGGCTCAGGGGAGCAGCTGAGGGCGCAGCAAGGCCCACCCCCTCGTAAGTGCCCTAGTCATCAGCTAATGCCTGGAATAAATAAATTCTCCATTTGCCCTGTGTGGGCTCATTCATAGCCCAGTCCTCCCGGGCTGGGCACTTCCTCTCTGGGACCGAAATAACAGAGGACGGACAGATCGGGTGTGATGCACGAGTCCTCCTTCAGGGGCCCTTCATTTTCCTAAGCAATAAAAAGAAACACACACACACACACACACACACACACACACACACCAAGTAAACCTCCCCCCCCCCCCCCCCCCCCGCAGCAATGTCCCTCTCCCCCTCGGTGTTTGCTGAAGGACTGCTGCAGCCCGGCAAGCCTCCAGCCCCGGGGATTGGGGGTGGAGTGGGGGTCGCTCTCTCAAATTGGTAGGAGACTTCTGAAGGAAAGCAGATCTCCCGGGTATTTCAGCACCTAGACAGAATCAGGAGGAGGTTCCTAGCCGGCCTGGGGTGGTTGGCCCAGAAGGCGCCCGATCAAAGGCGCTATCTGCTTGTGAGCCTGGGGTCGCGCTGTAAACCTTCAGGTGCTGCTTGCCGCAAGCCGGGGTCTGGGCCGCGCCGCCGCGCCCCGCCCAACTCGGTCCCCGCACCCTCGCGGGCTCCCGGGCTTTGTGGTTCGCCGGTGCAGCTGGGCCCCTGCTGGGGGTGTCGTTATGAGCATGTGCAGACAGCAACCCAAGGTAGAGCGTGCCGGGCGAGCCCTGAGACTTGCCTTGCAATGCCATGTTTGTGTATGTGCTCTAACTCCCGGAGAGCAATCAGGGAGACGGCTCCCCGGCCAGACTTGGCTGATGTTTTCTTGTTTCTGTTTCAGCCTTCAGGATAATTCCTTCAGCAGCACCGCTGTAACAGAGTAAGTGATTCTTGCCATTAAAATTAGACTTGCATGCCTTTCTGCCAAAGCAGCTAGCGTGAAGGTATCCTCCACCGTTCCCAGCCGCTCTTCTATTAGATGCATTGTCTCCTGTAACCGGGCTGTGAACATTGCGTGAGACGTGCTGACTGATGGGGCCCAGCAATCTTTACAGGTTGAAATCAGCATTTTAGCAGCTGCAGAACAGATAGTGAGACCAGCTGATTGCTCGTGGGAGCTCAGTGCTCCAAGATAGCTGTTGTTGGAGCTCAGGTATTTTAAACAGGTCTGTTTGGCGTGTCAGAAAGGAAGCTCTGCTGTGTTTTGCCAACATTGGTGTGGGTATATGGAGTGTGCACTGTATACATATTTACTGCAAATAGGAGATACATGAGAAATGTCTGCAGTTTAATTCCAGCATGCAATAAAACAGGGTGAACTTATCCTTGCTCTCTGGTCTACAGATTAAGGGGCAGTAAACTTTTCTCACATGTTCCTTTGTCATTCTTGGCTTCTAATCTCTTGAGAGCTGGCTCTAGGAGGGAAGAGTCATCTGTGGTTAAAGCTGGTGATTAGGGCAACTGACACCATTAAAAGTAAAAGGAGGGAGAGTAATGTGCTTGAGGTCAGCAGGCAAAATGTTTATTCCATTAGTTACAGTTTATAGCTTTAATTATTGGCATCCCCTCTTGAATATGCTTTAATACTATGTAAGTTAAAGTTAATAGGTTTTGCTAATACAGTATATAATATATAGTTTATATTATATATGTAAATGAAATATGCATGTATATGTTATCTAGCATCTGTTTTCCTCTAGGTGCATTCATAATGTTTACATGTATTTCTGAGGCCTTTGGAAGAAGTCGCTGTAAACAGCTTTTCAGGGAAAAGGCATGTGTATAACGAACTATATTTAAAAAAAATGTTGCAAGCTTGATAGAGAAAGCCTAACTAACTTTGGAAGTTAGCTAAAGTTGTCTAAAACAGCAAGTAAAACAAGTGGATATCATTAATAATTTTAAGTCCTACCACTGTCACAATGGCATGGTGATGGAGGGGTAAGTCTCTGCCGTGCTTCTCAAACCCTCAGGTTTTCCATACCTTTTGTTTCTCTGTTTATGTCACTGCTGTCTTAGTGCACAGCATTTGAGTTCACCTAAGAGCAGGTGCTGAAAAACAAATGCCAGGGTTGACTTTAGCTGATGCAATATAAAATACTCATCTGGGCCTGCCTCCTGTTAATTGCTTGGCAACCTGTGCTGAAACTTTGCTTTTGTAAAGGCCTCAGAGAAGAGGAGTGATGTGTGCCCCAATCTGCAGGCTGAAGAGGAGGCCTTGACTTTCCTGGCACAGGTGTGTAAGTCCTGTTCTCTCTCCCTCTGCTCTGCTTACAAATACCAAGTGCTCGCTTGGCTCGTCAGGAGTCCTGTGTGGCTGAATACCCCAGGTCAGCAGTAGGCATTGCGGCTTCAAAATGGAGACACTTAGCTTCAGATTGCAGATGGGCTTTTCTTTTACTTTTTTGGGTAAAGGTTTTATGGTTTAATACGGGGGAGATTGTGGTATCTTGCTTTTGGACACTCCCCAAGGAGTTTGGATTGCATAAGATCATGTTGTTACTTTCAGAGAAGTGATAGTGATTTATTTTAAAAGGCTCTAAGTGATAATTGGCATACCATCTGGCTAATATAAAAATCTAAGGAGCATACAGAAAACATACAAGGTGGAACACTGCACAGAATTGGGTCATTGAAAGCCAATCATTGACTAACTTGAAATATCTCCTCCCCTCAGTAATCTGCACCGTGATCCTTGGTGCTCTGGGGCATGATCTTAGAGCAGCAGAACCAGCGTACATTATCCTGCAAAGAGACCTAGCAGAATGTGTGGATATGGGCATGCCCTACACAGAGGAGGCAGTTTTCTCTATTACCAATTTTGGACTTAAGAAAAGTTCCTATTTCTTCTCCTGGGTCCACCGAATTCTGACCTCATTCTACCTGCACCACTTGTTTTTTAATGTCTGAAAACCCATTTGGAGATGACTTCTTTTGGATTAAGGACTGGAAATGTTAGAGTCTGTGTCTGAGCGGTCGCTCCAAGTTGTCATTTGCACTCGAGTATGAACTATTTTAGCACATATTGCATCCTGGCAGGACTGGCAAGCCAAGGGCATGACAAGAGTCAAAGACCAGTAGAATTGTGAGGGACTCAGGACACATTTTTTTTCCTGGCTTTTTTCGGGCTGGGAACTTTGTGCTGCTCTACGCCAACTAAGATTCTCCTTCTACCTAAAGGATTTCAACGTCAGAATGACCTTGGCCTTTTCTTGTCTATCTGCAACATGCTTTCTTCTGTTAATTTTCCATGACTCCTTTGCCGTGTTGCCCTAACTTGCACTTGGAAATGAAGCATGCCTTTCAGTCATTCTGATTAGTTCTCATCCAAGGTAGTGGCTTTCAAAATCAGTTGATCATCAGTGTCCCCTGGGGATAGGAATTGGCATCTATGTAAAGCACAGCTTCCCATATTTTATCTCCGAGTGGGAACTCAGAAGGGGTGAGCTGTGTTGGGATCAGACCAATTGGGTTTTGGAAACCTTTGGGTCAGTGTTGAACCTTAGAAGAATAGTAGGTATGTAAGTGCACAATCTGTTTTAAAATTTCACGTTTTGGGCCCTGCCTTCTGGGAGTTTCTGGTTTAGAATCTGCGGTTTTAGTCAGGTACTCCAAGTGAAAATAATGTAGGTGGTTCTGAAGCCATACTTTGAAATATCACTGGAGGCTCTACTCAGTTTTTCCTACAAGGAACATGGTCCAACAGGGGGTGTGGAAATCCTCTTATAGCTCAGCTACAATTTACTCAACAGCCAATTTGAGGCATACTCTTAGTGAGAAAATGGAACTTTTAATGAGCATTCCTCCCATTATCACTTTTTAATGAAATGTCATTCTCACAATCTAGGGGGTGCTCTGGGGTTAGTGTGGTGGAGTGAAAATAATACTGGACTTCATAGCTTTGGGTCTTGGAATTCAAGCACTAAAGATGATGCTTACCCCTCAACATCATCAAGCTGAATTGAGATAATGTGTAAGAGCAGGTGAGCCATAAAGTGTTATAAAACTTTCTTATTTGTAAATTACTATAGTGAAAAGTCCCAACAGAGAAAAAAAAAAACAGCAATGTCTAAGCATTTCACAAAGCAATGATTATGAACACAAATTATTTTATATTGTTTGGACACAAACATATTAAGGACTGTGGGTAAAGTTCATGAGAGCTGCAGAGGAACACATTCAATAGATAATAGATATTTCTTTCTTTTCTTTTTTTTTTTTTGAAGATTGATTTATTTTTATTGGAAAGGTACATTTACAGAGAGAAGGAGAGACAGGAAGAAAGATCTTCCTAATTCACTCCCCGAGTAGCCGCAACGGCCAGAGCTGAGCCAATCCGAAGCCAGAATCCAGGAGCCTCTTTTAGGTCTCCCACATGGGTGCAGGGTCCCCAGGCTTTGGGCCATCCTCTACTGCTTTCCAGGCCACAAGCAGGAAGCTGGGTGGGAAGTAGAGCAGCTGGAACACAAAGTGGCACCCATATGGGAATCTGGTGCATTGCGAAGTGAGAATTTAGCCAGTGAGCCTTTGCACTGGGCCCTCTTTCACCTTTATTTATTAGTAACTGTAAGAAAAACATTGCAATGTAGTGCACATATATATGTAATTTAAATAAATTCCAGGAAACAATGAAGTCTTATTCTGATGATGTTTTCTGCTGTGTTCTCTAACATGCTAGTAAAGGGTATCTAATTTTGAGATTTAATAACAGGCTATAGTGTACAGTTTGAAAAATATAATAGAAGATGATTAGTTTTGAACATCTAAGAGAAATCACTAAAAGATTGATCTTCATTAGGACTCTGTAGGAAGAGGGTGCTGTGCCTCAGATCCGTTTGCTACTAAGTCTGAATTTATTTTCCTCCAAGAGCAGGGCTGTCTAGATAGGGGTTCCTACAGTGAAGTATTGAGTAGAAGTAGATGGTCCTTATCAATGTAAATGAAGACTCAATAGAACAATGAGAAGTTGTGCATGTGTACCAAGTAAGTCAGTAAGGAGAACTGTTTAATTGCTGTGTCTGTAAGCTTAGAATTGAGGCTTTTTGAATTGCAAATATAGTTGTTGTGTAGGAATGAAAACTGGATCAACTAATTAGATCCAGCTTCATACTTTGGAATATATCTGCAATTTTGTATGCTCTGGTGCCAAGTTTCCATTTTTAACTGATTGTTCCTTGAGGAGAAAGATTAATAAATCAAATGAAGAGAAAAAAGTTCCTGCCAAATACCCAAACAGTGGGTGTTGTCAAATTCTAGTGCTCAATGTCTAGTTGAGACCTAGTTCTTAAAAATCAAGTTCTAGATTTCTGTTCTTCATTGGTTTTTCTACTTCACTAATGGAATACATTTTTATTTATTTGCTTTGAAACTCAGGTGCGCTGTCAGGTAAATGTGGTTAAAGCAGGAGAACAAAGTGATACTTAGGAATGTAATTGTTGTTCTCCATGAGACGGACAGAGAGGATTACTGGCATTTGAAAACATGAAGCAACAAAGCAGATTCCTTCATTCTGTTAATATAAATACTTTGTTAAGTCCACTGACTTGTTTTCAATTGCCACAGAGAGCAAAATATTTCTCCAGGTATAGGATTTAGATTTCTATGTGTATCTGTTGCTTAATTATTAACTATAAAAGTATAGTTTAGATAGAACTTGTGAGGGAAAAAGACTGAGGCTTCATCAGTTCCTCCTGTGAATTAATGACATACCATTTACCAGTAAAGACACACTATTTACCATTTATTTAATTTATAAGGAAAGTTTCAAAATTCTAAGTTATTTCTATTCTATTATATTATGATTTTATTTATGTATGTAGGTGTTGATTTACTTATTCATTTTTGTATACTGAGTTTCTTTTTTTAATCTTTTATTATTATTATTATCATTTTATGATACAGTTCCATAGGCCCCTGGGATTTCCCTATCTGCTCCCCATTTCCTCCCCGCTGAGTTCCCTTATATCATGATTAAAGTATAGTTCTTCATTCACAGTCATATCTCCATTATTGTGGGCATGGACAATGGCAGACAGTCCAGCATCCTATTGTCATATAGTAAACAGAATCATTGGGAGTCCATCTTTGATCTGGAAGTAGAGATGCATACTGCATTGTATCCTCACATCTGCATATGTTAGTTTCAATTTCACAATTTGTAATTGTGGCCCTTAAATGAAAAGCCACAATACAAAATCAGCAATAGGAAGAAAAATAGAAATTTACAATGCCATGAAGTTAAATAGCATGCTACTTAGTAACTAGATATGATAGTCTCCATTACACAGCTACTATATATCCCCTTAAATAAAGAGCCACAATACAAAATCAACAACAGGAAGAAAAAGGAAATTAACAGCACCATGAAGTTAAATAACGTGTTACTGAATGACTAATGTGTCGTTGAAGAAATGAAAAAGAAAACAAAGAACCTTCTTGAAGAAAATGATGATATTGTATGATCTATGAGTCAGTGAAGAATTTAATCAAAAGAAAGTGTTTGGAAGAAATAAAGCTAACAACAACAAAATCAAAATCCATGAGATATAGTTTCCACTGATTTTTATTGGTGAAATGTGTCTCCTGTAGGCAACAGATGGGTTTTGTTTTTTAATTTAGTCTACTAATCTGTGGCATTTGAGCTTAAGCCATTTACATTCAGGGTTAGTATGTATGGGTGGTAATTTGGTCCTGTCATTTCAGCAATGGGTTGTTCATTGATTTAGTCTTCTGTTTTTATTTTACTGGGATGTTCTTCACATTTGCCTTTGGCTTTGGTGGGTACTATTCCTCTTCTCTGTTAAGAGAACATCTTTAAGTATCATTTGTAGGGCAGGTTTGGAAGAGGCAAATTCTTTCAATTCTTTACTGTGGAAGAATTTTATTTCATTTTCAAAGACAAAAGAAAGCTTTTCTGGGTATGTTATCTTGGGCTGACAGTTTTTTTTCTTTTAGACTCTGGAATATGTCACTCCATTCTCTGCTTGCCTGTAGAGTTTCCTGTGAGAGGTCTCCTGTGAGTTTAATTGGCATTCCTTTATGTGTCAATTGATTTTTTTCATGTGCACATTTAAGGATCTTTTACTTATGTTTGGTTGAAGAGAGCTTGGTTATCATGTGTCACGGTGAAGTCTGTGTCCCCCGTTTTCTCAGTGTCTTCCTCAGTGAACTCTGAAGTTGGCATAGGGTTTTGCTCCTTTGCAGGGGAGTCTTCAGTAAAATCATTTTGCCTTTGTCTGTCTTTTTGCTCTTGGTCATTCATTGTACTTCTGGATACCAGAATCTATTCCTTGGGGCCGGTTTCTAAGCTGTGTCACCCACAGGTCTAACAGTTCGATTTTACTCATTGCAGTTGGTACATGGCTCTTTTTTTGCAGGCAATTGTGCCACTCTCCAGCGAGTTCCAGGTCTGGGTTCTTATGTTAGATTTCCACCAAGAACTCCGTAGTCCCAACTCCTGGCTCACCACTCTCCACCTCCTGTGACACTGCTTAGGCTGCACCAATGTCTCTGCAACCTTTCTCCTATTTCCAGTTGGAGCAGGTCTCAGAATTAGGGAGGCACCAGGATTCTTATTTAGCTAGGTTGTTATGATGGTAATCTTGCAGGAACCTGTTGGTTGTTAAGTCTGAGGGTCTCATGGACCTATTTTGACCTGTACAATGCCATAGTTGGTGTTATTTTCCTGTGGGACCAGTGTAAAGCACTGAGCTCAGTGAATTCTTGTGAGCTCAGTACATGCACAGTCTATGTTGTCCCTGTAGTCCCAAAACTTTTGTCATACTGTACAAAATGGCACCTGACATACCAATACTAGAGTTCTTGATCTGCTTGCCTTCAGGTCTGAGGGCTACCTGGACCTATCTTTGGTCGAACCTGTAGGATGCCATGTTGTTGCAATTCACTGAGTCAGAAAGGAGTTCACTCCCAGCTCGGCCCACACTCAGTCCTTTCCCTTGCCTTTGCCTCCTTAAACAAAATGGTACCCGAAACAGCTCTAGAAGGGCTAACTGGGTTGTGAAATCTACCCTGTTCCCATGTTACCAATCTGGGATTTACTGCTTTGTCTCTACTCCTGGTCAAATCAAACAGACCAGCAGGACTGGCGGTTCTTTGGGTGTACTTCCTGAGCTTCCAGTGAAAGTCCCTTCCCACCTGGTTGCTAATGAAGTTCCAGCTGCCAATGGAGTTCAGATCGCCATTTGCTGAATGCTGCTGGGTATCAGTCACTGCAACACCACATCCTTGTTTTTGCTGCTTTCCTGTGTCTGTCAGTCTCCAGGTACCCCTCTGCTGTTGTTCTGTCCTCTCCTATTTCCTGGAATGTGCTCTCTCTGCTTCATACTGGTTAATGTTTCTCCATCTGTTTAAATGTGTCCTTATCCTATTCCTCCATCTTGATTGTCTGTATACCTAGCGTCTTATGAATTTCTCCAAACAAAGTACAGTTTTAAAATTTGTGTTCTTCTCAAATAGGTCCACTCAAAGTATGGGATTCTAAGTTGTTTGTAACTTGTCTGAGTCAAGAAAAGAAATAAGGAGTAAGTATTTAGTAACTTTAATAGGTAGGCAAGCATTGTGGTATAGTGAGTTATGCCACTGATTTTAACAGTGTCATCCCATGTTGGAGTGTTAGTTCAAATCTTGCTTGTTCTTCTTCTTATGTAACTCTCTACTTGTGTACCTGAGAAGGCAGAAAGATAACCCAAGTCTTAGGTCCCTGCAGCCCAGGTGGAAGACAAGAATAGAGTTACTGGCTCCTGGCTTCAACCTGAGCTAAACTTGGCTATGATAGCCAGAGTGACGAAGAGGAGGAAACCAGTGGATTAAAGGTCTCTTCCTCTCTGTTTTTCCCTTTCTCCCTGTTTCTCAAGATAAGAAATACATTTTTTTAAAAAATATGGGAATCTGATATTTCTATGACATTTAAAGTAAAGTATTTGCCCTAACTGGTCAGTCCTGAGCTCTGGAGATTAAGGAGCACAGTTTGAAATGTTATGTAGTACTTGGGATGCAGTGAATGCTCAATAAATGTTAAATTAATTCACCTTAGTAAGTGCTTGCTAAATTATTCGACCTGCTAAGACAACAGAGTTAATGTTTCAAATCAAAGTGGTTTTTTGTTTTGTTTTGTTTTTGTTTTTTTGAGTGTCTACTCTGGGATGGCGCTGTGCAGAATAGCATTGCATCAGTGCATCTAGGAGTGGAAATTAGAGTAATTTCTACTTGTGCAATTAGCTACTAATTTAAAAGATCTCAGCTATATGAGGGATAACATAGCAATGTAAGACAAAATGTAGCTGTTACCAAACCTCCTAATGAAGAATAAACACTTATGAATTAAGGTTGAGATAGGCATGTGGAATGTGAATGAATTTGGCAGTGAAGGTTCACTGAGCTGGTAAGACTTGATTTGGACAGTGAAGGATGAGTAGGAATTGAGGATGGAAAAAGCATTGCAGGCTGGGGTGAGGCAGGGTGGGGATGGCTGAAAACAGGAACAAAGGCTTCCTTCACCAAGAGTGAGAGAACAATGCCAATTCATGAAGAGGCTTCGATATGGAAGAGCTAAGGATTTTTTTAAAATAAGATCAATAAGGGCCACCTGCTTAAGGCTGGGAAAGCAGGGGTAGGCTGGACCAAGCCGCTGGGCCCACTGCACTCACACGGAAGACTTGGAAGAAACTAATGACTCTTGGCTTTGGATTTGTTTAGCTTTGGGTATTGTGGCCATTTGGGGAGCAATTTAGCTGATGGAAGATGTTTTTCTGTCTTTCTTTCTTTCTCTGTAACTCTGCCTTTCCAATAAAAAAATGAATTTTAAAAAAGAAAACAAGGCAATCAAGAATGTTCAAGGACAGTGGAATAAGCCATTGGATACATTTTGAGATGTTTGTGACTGCCAATAAACTGATGTAGTTTGGAACAGCCTGAAACAGAATGCAAGGAGACATGAAGTAGAATCTGTTAGGCCAACAAGATTACCAACACTGAGGACACTTGATTCCCTTGCAGTGCTGTGAACACTCAGGTTCCTGCAAAGGTCATATTAACTGAGGTAATACAGAGGAACAGAAACGAAAAGGAGAGTCACATCTAGTTTGGAGCTTTTAAACTCATATGATATGATGAATTAGTATCATTACCTGGCAGACATGCTGGGATCAAAGAGAGTAGTGTGGGTTGTTAATCTTTCTAGTTTACCACACTGGTCTAAGGATGGTCCTGGATTTTTGCTGTAACTGTTGGCTATGGCACAGCTTTTGTTTGTTTTCTTCAGGTGTGGTGAAGACGCAGTCTCTGTTCATGAGGACCACACGGATTGCTCTAGTGTCAGGTATGCCCGCCTTGGCTTGATTCTCATTTGTGAAAGGCAGAAACGCCTTGGGTCTGGCTCTTTAAATTCTGTTTTCATTGAATTCCAAAGATTGTTTCTTGTTTCTCATCTCTTCTACTATATTTTCAGCTTTTTGAGGAGACTTTTTCCACTTTTAGATATCCCTATTAATACCACTGGTGGTGCCTTAAAAATGGAAAATGATCAACTGATGTTCATTGAATTAAACATTGATTAGCCTATTTCAGTACTTCTATCATACAACTTGTGGATGAGTTTCTAGATTGTTCACCCAATTTGGAGTGTGGTCTTGGCATATTAATAGGTGCCTGATAGGAGGTAAGATATTCATAGTTCACTGTTTCTTCTACATTTACTTTGCTCCAAAAACTTCATGTATAGTTATTTGTAAGTGGAAAGGAAACTGATGTTTACCTTCTCATCCTGTAGGTGGCACAACTGAGGCTCATAGAGACTGAAATTCATCCAATATGAGGCAGAATTTGGAGTCACATCTCTGACCCTAAAGTCCATGTGTGGGTAACACACATTTATTGAGAGACTATTTTGTGTGCTAGAAACCAGTTAAAATTGGAATTAGAGATTTAGTCTGCTAGAGGAGATTGAATGATAATACTGTAGGACAATAGTGCCATTATTTCTTAACAGGGGATTCAAAAGGACCAAATACATGTAGTCTCTGTCAAGCTTTTTTTGCTGTAATTTGTGGTGAAGAAAATCTCTAGTCCATATGTGTGCCACCAAGCAGCTTATTGGAGAGTCAGCAGAAGGTAGAGAGAATAGGTTGAATGGAAGGAAACAGGCAGCAGAAGCACTTGCAGCTGGACCCAAGGAGTGATAAGAAATGAAACTCAAGTGACAGATAAGGCTGGGTCTCATAACGTTTATGTGCCATTTTATGGGAATTGATGTTTGTCCTGGAGTTATTTCAGAAACTAGAAGGGATCCTTGGTTTTTTTTTTTTTTTTTTTTTTTTTTTTAGTTTTGTTCTTTTTTGTTGTTGTTGTTTGTTTGTATGTTTGGAAATAACCACTTGATTAAGGTTCTGCCTGAGAATAACAAAAGATTTTATATATTGGGCTACTGCCTGGAGCTGACTTTCCCTGACTGATATTCCACAGAGCCTGCATTAGCTCTGCAAAGTAGAGATTACATTTGTCTTCTGGATGGGGACCATTGAAGTAGCAATGTGACCCAGGCTGTATAACTGCTGAGTGGGGAGATCTTCCAGACTCTTGATCTTTTCAGGACAACATGCTCCTTCTCTGACAAGTGGTAGTGGGATGTTTTGGGGATCACGAAGAACCAATAATATTCTAGAAAAGACATTTCTAGAAGATGACTTTTGTAATAAGGGTTTATATTTGCGTAATGGGAGAAGGTGCTGTTTTGTTCCCTTCTATTTATTGCCTTCCAAGTGAAGGAAATAAACGAGATCAAATTTTTAAAATTTGGGCTGATTTGAAGAAAATGAAGTTCAGGTATTTATTTGGGAATACATTTGAAAAACTACTTCCAACCGCTCCTCCTTCTCTGATTCTTGAGCATTCTAAAACCCTGCTTCAATGAAAAGCATTAAGGTAGCTAAAGACAGCTGTTCTTCCTTTGGTTTTTCATCTAAGAACATAAAGTGAATGAGTAGGATGTTTTTGTTCAAAGAAATACTTTTCCATTGGACTAAGATAGCTTCCAATTAATTGTTTGTAATTAACTTCCAGACTTTTTTGTGACTTAGAAAAAGTTTTTAATTTGTCAAAGATCTCAAAGAAGACTACCAGCCTTTGTCATTAGCATCAATTTGCATTTTCTGTTGCTAACACAGGAGAACTATTTTACTTGTAGGTTTATTAGATTCTCCTTACCAGTCAGTCAGTCTTGTCCTAGGACTTAAATTGAGCCCTGGAAATAGTTTTACTGTCATATCTTGCCCAACAATGCTTAGGTCATGCTCCAGACCACCTGTCCTGATGTTTGCTTTGGTATTTTCCCAGAGAGTAATTGAATATCATTCCCCAATAATATTCTTCAGTAAATTTAACCTTCTCATTGTGAAAAGGTGTCTTTACCAGTGAGCATAGCATAGCAATCTATCCTTTGCTGGCTGTACCTCCTGGCTTTATATTGGCTGGAGTAGCAATGACTGGTTTACCAGCTGACCTTGCTGAAAGCACTTAGTGTGTGTGTTTCTAGCAAAGAACCAGGAAAGATAAGCAACACCTGGGGAGTGTAAACCTCTAATGAATTGCATGATTTAGTGCTGATAATTGCTCTGGGTGAGGTTAATGATACTGATAGCATGAAGAAATGGTCTTTTTGTTGTTGGTGGTGGTGGTGGTGGTGGGGTGTGTGTGTGTGTGAGTTTTATCTTATTTTTTTCCCACTTTCGGTCGCTGAAGATTCCCCTGAGAGACTTTTTAAGAGAAATTTAAGAACAGAAAACGGTGTTATATAGTGACAACTACAAAACTATAGATCAACTAATACAGATTGGAAAGGGCGGTTGAGTGATATAAAGAGCCAGTGTCATATTTCTTAGGTTTTTGTTTCTGTTAAATTATGTGTGTTAAACCTTCTGTTGGGTTCCCTAAACCTGTAGCAGCAATGACTATCTTCGCTTGCCTTCCTGCAGCTGCTGCATTTTGAGGCTGGGCTGGGCTGGTGTGGCAGGAGTGTATTCTTAAGTAGACTTTCCTGCTGCAGAGATGAAAGCAATAAGGAGAATTACCCCGACTCTGAGGCACGCGTAGAGGAGCACCTGCTGCCCCTGCACGAGGCACAGCAACATATAGGGCAGGCCCTGCTTCTGGACGGCGTTTTGCGACACAGCATGGGCAACTTCAAGTCCCGGAAGCCCAAATCCATCCTGAAAGCCGAGAGTGGTAGGAGCCACGGAGAAAGTCAGGTAAGGGCTCTGTTTGGTGAGATATTTGCAGCACTGTCTTACCTAAGGACATTTGATGTGATGCCTACCTAGACAGTTGACTGAGACATGTGGAGTCTTCCACAGGTTAAAAGTTGAATCTCCTGGGCAGGGTAGTAATTTGGGGCCCTTTCACTGAGATTTTGCTTATTTTAAAGAAGCCATTTGGCTTTTTTGGGTAAAGAAGAGTCTGCCATCATTCAACCAGGACACTGAGCTCTTGCTCCAGAATTGGGGAATCTGTTCAACAAAATCGAAAGTGTCTATTTACGTGGAGCCATTTTTCTTGGGCCATAGTTTAAGAGGCTTGAAAAACACAAGTTGTGTATTTGTGTGTTTCTGTGTATGTTGAGTCTAGTTCCCTGAGAGAACACTGACAGATGTGGGGTGAACATTTCATACAAAGATTAAAGTTGCCCTCCGAGTCTAGTTTGAATCCTGGTTACATGGTTTATCCAGCTTCTTCAGGAGGTGACTCAAGTAATTTGGGGCCTGCCACCCACATGGAGAAGTCAGAGTTCAGCTTTTTTGAGTGACCATATGGGGAATCAAAGAGTGGATGGAAGATCTGTTTCTCTGATTATTACATAAAGCAAAAGAAATCCAAGAAGTATTTGAATGAATGATTTGAAGCTTCTTCCCGGCTAGTTTATAAGTTGGTATTTTTAAAATCTAAAAAGTTGTTCACATGAATATAGAAAAGTGGTATTTTCTTAAGTTATAAAAATTCCCAACATAATTTCTAATGATTTTAGAAGAAACGAGATGAATAGAATATACACTGATCTTACTAGGACGTCAGTATTTCCAACATTGATTTGGTAATTGTAATGCCTCTAACGTAACTTTTGGGACATGGATATTCCATAAATGTTTGTGTGTCAGGTTTTTTTTTTCTGGTGTTTGTTTTTGCAAACATTTGCATGGTAAATCTTAAGATATCGTGGGAGACTGAGTTTAATAGGTTAATTATGTAAAAAGGTTAGGTCCAGTTCAGTTTGGCAAATGAGCATCAGTTGATTTTCCTATTAGAACAACTTTGGGAAGTTTGTTTGAACTTACAGTTATGTTATTTGAGTTGTGAATTTTTTAAATTTCTCTTCTTACTTGGCATTGTGATGTTTTATTTAGTCAGTTAATTTTGTAGTGAGGTGAAAATGCCCTCTTCATTCCTGAAGCTTGATTATTATTATCTTCAACTGAATATATCTCTCATTAGAAAGGTGAGCTTGAAATACAGTTTCCATGATGTAAGCTTGAGACCCTATTTGCTGGTTCTCTATCACGTGTGTGATAGGAAGTGTTTTCTGACCAGGGCACAAGTCCCTGATGGGCTGCTCCTGGACTCTGACTAGTCCTGGAGAGGCTCTGATCCTGAACTCACTATCAGAAGTCACCTGTGACTGTGGATTTAAGGGTGACCTTCTGTCTCTCCTTAGCTTGCCCTCTTTCTTGTCATCCTATAGTCTGGCCTCAGAGAAATTACACAGCCGTTACTTGTAATAAAGTACTAATAAACCATGTAATTCCCAGCATATTGCTCAGACACAAAGATTTTCAGGAGAGGAAGATGCTTGTAAAATCTTTACTCATGAAATCACTTTGGGATTCTAGGTATCGGCTAAAATTGCCACTGAAATTTGGGTGGGCTGCCCTATCTAATTCAGTGGGTTTGTTCTCAGTAACATTCCAGGCAAGATACTGGTTGTGTGATACATTTTTCCCCAGTTAAATCCTAGTTCAGAGGGAGAAAGAGGATTATTGAATGCATATAAATAACCTATTCCCAACCCAGCCCCCCCCCCAAGACAAATTGAGGACATGTATTTCAGAACTGGTGGTCAGAGAGGGCTAGTACTATTAAAACATTAAGGGTTGCATAAGCAGTATCTACTAAATTCTTATGGATTGTGGATAATTGAATTATATGGAAGGAACTTGTCATATTTATAAAAGAGTTTGAACACAACTGAATACTAAACAAATAACTACAGTAAAATTTCCCTAATATGTCTATTCAGGCCTATCTCATTCTGATTCCTTTGATCTTGGGGTAGTGGTATCCTAAAATCATCTGCTTTTTCACTGAAGTTTTGCGACTCCTGACTGAAACCCTCTGGTGTCATCAGATACCTGAATCCAAAAGTTTGTTCATTGTGGTCACTGGCTTAAGTTATCTGATCCTTGACCACAGTGTCCTGGAGTCACCTTTGTTGACGGCAGAGAACCTGGCCTAAGCCTTAGTCAAACCTCTGGCAGCCATTAAAGGAAAGCAGTATGTAAGAGGACAGAAGCAGTATGAATAGAGGAAATGTCTGATTAATATGCTACTCCCAAGTTTGTTTTGAAAGGTCTCATGAGGGTTCATGATATGTATAATGTGACATGCAAAATGGAGAATGATCTTAGTTTCAAAAATGAGAGGCAATGTCCTAGAGGATCATCAGTAAACTTATTTTCAAAGAAGTTAAGAATGTTGGATAGATTAACATATGCTTCAAAATTAATTTGATAAAAATGAGAGTATAGTTTTTTCCTCAAGATTTACTATGTATTCTCATTGGAAATTCAGAGCTACAGAGAGGAAGATCCTCCTTCCACTGGTTCCCTCATCAAATGGCCATAAAGGCCAGAGTTGAGCTGATGCGAAAGCAGGAGCCAGACGCTTCTTCTGGGTCTTGCTTGCAGCTACAGGGTCTCAAGGCTTTGAGTCATCCTCTACTGCTTTCCCAAGACACAAGCAGAGAGCTGGAAAGGAAGCTGGAGCAATCGTGACATGGACCGACACCCATGTGGGATCCCAGTGCCACTAGGCTATTGTGCTGTGCTCAGGAATATAAGCTCTGTTTTGATATTGTTTCTCTCTTAAAATGTAATCTATTTCACAACAATTAGGCTACCACGCTGGGCCCTGGATTTCTTTGTTTATTTTTAAGATTTATTTTTATTTGAAAAGTTGGTTTCTGCTGAAAGGAGAGTCAGTCAGAGGTTTTTTCTACTGGTTCACTCCCAAACTGACTGCAAGAGCCAGAGTTGAGCTGAAGTTAGGAGCCAGGTGCTTCTCCGTGGCCTTGCACTCAGGTGTAGGGACTGAAGGCCTTGGTTCATCCTCCACTGCTTTCCCAGGCCTTTATCAGGGAGCTGAATTAGAAGTGGAAAATCTGGGACACCTGCCAGTGCCATGTGGGATATTAGTGCTTGCAGGTGGAGGATTAGCCTGCCTTGATTGGACTCTTAATATAGTTTTCATGGAGGAAAAAGAAATCCTCTAACAATGTAGTTGTAAAATAATATAGCAAAATTAAAAGTGAAAAGATCAATTAAACCAAGAAGCATTTGTGTTTTCTTTTAAACTCCATAGGTAAGTCTAATTTACACTACTGATTGAAAAACCATGGTGCAGATGATGCTAGATTAAAAGAAAGAAGGGTATGGACAGGTCAACACTTAAAATAGCAATCACAATTACTGGTAAAACTGTAGTGTCATCTAATATCAGACAAAACTCTACCAGGACTTGAACATATAAGAGCAGATTTTGAGAGAGCTATTTTTTTTAAAGATTTACTTTTATTATTTTTTAATTGGAAAAGCGGATATACAGAGAGGAGAGACAGAGAGGAAGATCTTCCGTCCCATGATTCACTCCCCAAGTGAACGCAACGGCCGATCCGAAGCCAGGAGCCTCTTCCGGGTCTCCCACGGGGGTGCAGGGTCCCAAAGCTTTGGGCTGTTCTCGACTGCTTTCCTGGGCCACAGGCAGGGAGCTGGAAGGGAAGCAGGGCTGCTGGGATTAGAATCTGTGCCCATATGGGATCCCGGGCGTGCAAGTTGAGGACCTTAACCACTGCGCCACTGCGCCAGGCCCGAGAGAGCTATTTTTTAAGAGTTTTGATAATTGGATGCATGTCACGTTTATTAGGTTTACCATGCATTGTGGTGGAGAGAGTGGTTATGTTTGAAAAATTAGAATATTTGGTGAATTTGAGCTTATATGCTGCTACAGATCTTCTTCGTGTTTATTGTACTCACCAAGACAGTGAGCGCTAATTGTCATGAGATAGGATTCCCCAAAAGTACCTATGAAGAACCATTTTATAAATTTTTTTAAAAAGATTGATTGATTTTTTTAAAGATTTATTTACTTTTTTAATTGCAAAATCAGATATACAGAGAGGAGGAGAAACAGAGGAAGATCCCCCATCGATGATTCACTCCCCAAATGAGCACAATGGCTGGTGCTGCGCTGATCCGAAGCCAGGAGCCAGGAACTTCTTCCAGGTCTCCCACATGGGTGCAGGGTCCCAATGCCTTGGGCCTTGCTCGACTGCCTTCCCAGGCCACAAGCAGGGAGCTGGATGGGAAGTGGAGCTGCCGGGGTTAGAACTGGTGCCCACATGGGATCCTGGCACGTTCAAGGTGAGGACCCTAGCTACTAGACTACCGCGCTGGGCCCAAGATTGGTTTATATTTTTATTACAAAGTCAGATATATAGAGAGGAGGAGACACAGAGAGGAAGATCTTCCGTTCTATGATTCACTCTCCAAGTGATCACAATGGCTCGTGCTGCGCTGATCCGAAGCCAGGATCCAGAAACTTCTTCCAAGTCTCCTATGAGGGTTAGGGTTCCAAGGCTTTGGGCTGTCTTCAACTGCTTTTCCCAGGCTACAAGCAGGGAGCAGGATGGGAAGTGGAGCTGCTGGGATTAGAACTGGCACCCAAATGGGATCCTGGCACGTTCAAGGTGAGGACTTTAGCTGCTAGGCCACCATGCCTGGCCCCATGTTTTAAATTTAAAAATAATCTTTGGGCCTGGCACAACAGCCTAGTGGCTAATGTCCTCACCTTGCACACACCAGGATTTCATGTGGATGACAGTTTGTATCCTGGGTTCTCCACTTCACTTCCAGCCGGGGAAAGCAGTAGAGGATGGTCCAAGGCTTTGGAACCCTGCACCCACATGGGAGGCCCAGAAGAAGCT